CTAAGGCTTAATGCTGTTCCGGACACACATTTGCCAAATAAACTGGAACACAGTTTTCATTATAAAAATTTTTTTAGTCCCAACTAAATCATTGAAATGGAATCGGAAGATTTTTTTTATCAAAATTATGAAACTGAATCTAGCAACGGTAATAATTTAAGTTGTTGGATTGAGAAATAAAGATAAGTGAATAAGCATCTTATTCTTCTACTTCTTAAATGGCGTAGACACCGCTTACGCGATTATAGCCGAGTTAACAACAGCGCTCCACTCTTTTCTTCTTTTCGCTACGTGGCGCCAGTTGGATATTCCAAGCGTTGCCAGGTCCTCTCCACCTGGTCCTTCCAATTTCGCGGCTGACATTGTTGTGGGCGTTAAGAATGTTTCGAAAATAGATGAAATTACCTATGACTTCAAAGTCGTGACTGTCAAGAGTGACGTGACAGTCAAGTCGCGAATGTTTGTTTGATCACAGAAGATATTTCGTCTTGCCCTCGTTCACTGCCAGGCCCATTTGCTTTGCTTCCTTGTCCAGTCTGGAGAAAGCAGAACTAACGGCACGGGTGTTGAGCCGGTGATATCAATATCATCGGCATACGCCAGCAGCTGTACATTCTTATAAAATATTGTATCTTCTCCATTTAGTTTTGCAGCTCGAATAATTTTTTTCAGCAACAGGTTGAAGAAGCCGCCAGATAAGGAGTCGCCGAAAGGTACTTCCCGATCCTAACGGAGCTGTTGTTCTTAGGCAACACAGCCGAATTAGTTTAGCCAAATTCAGATATCGCGGCATAAAGGCAGCTCCTTTTCGTGCTTTTCGTCGAAAGCAGCTTTAAAAACGACGAAGAGGTGGTGTGTGTTGATTCTCCTTTCACGGGTCTTTTCCAAAACTCGACGCGTTGTGAATATCTGGTCGGTTGTTGATTTTCCAGGTCTAAATAGATTGTGGGGTCTCCCTTTTTGTGGATTGGGCAGAGCACACTTAAATTCCAATCGTTTGGCATGCTTAGGTCTGACCTTATTTTACAAAGAAGCTGATGCATGCTCCTTATGAGTTCTTCGCCGCCGTGTTTGAATAGCTCGGCCGGCAATTCCGCTGCTTTGTTGTTCTTCAGGCGGGTAATTGCTATTCGAACTTCTTCATGGTCTGGCAATGGAACGTCTGCTCCATCGTCATTGATTGGGGAATCGGGTTCGCCTTCTCCTGGCGTTGTGCGTTCACTGCCATTCAGCAAGCTGGAGAAGTGTTTCCTCCATAATTTAAGTACGCTCTGGGCATCGGTCACTAGATCACCTTTCGGGGTTCTACAAGAGTATGCTCCGGTCTTGAAACCTTCAGTTAACCGCCGCGTCTAAGTAGGACTTTTATTTAGAAAGCCAGTGATCGAACTCAAGAGTGAATTACAAGGCAGACCATCCATCGGGAAATCCGTAACAATATGCTAATTTGTAAATTTTTTATTCAGGGGTGTTGTGGAATCCAAGGCAGAATTGCAAACCTGATTTTCAATGATATCACAGAATCTGTTTGAATTTTCGTCTTTTCGAACGTATGCAAAACTAATATTCCATATCAGCTGTTAATTAATGTGACAAATGTTATTCCTTTAAAATTTACAATGACTATGGCAACTTTAACTTTCCTTTTTTAGAAGAAGAAAACAACGAAAAAATTAAAAGGAAAACATTAAAAGAACACAGTGAACTAAAATCAGTCTTAGTTTGTAAATTCAAGTACTTAAAATATATTTCACAACCAGGATCTTTAATAAATAGTATACTTATTAATTAATATTTTTTTTTGTGTCTGTTGTGTTTGTGGAATCAAGTTCTTCAAAAAAATTGTTCAGATCGGATTACTATAGCACTTAGCTTCCATACAAACTGAACACATAGTTACTAAAAGAATGCACCTGTGAAGGGTGTTTAAACGGGACAATAAGAAATACTGTTGTTGGTTTGAGTGTGTATGAATTCAATTAAAATCGGGTAACTTTGACATTTTATATTTAAACATTAGATATGTGTATAAAAGAAATGTTAATTCGCTCGCTACATGCGAACGTGCGATTGAAATTCCACGGCGAGGAGACTAGATTAGAAAAAAAGACGCATAGGATCTAGATGCCCGCAAGATTCATCCGACCGATGTAAATATGCGAAAGGTGTCGACGCCACGCAGTGTTGAAGCGAATGTGATGAAAATAATAGCGATTATCCAATCCTTTAGACATCTGTTGTGGTGAAATCCAATGCGTCCCCAGTTGTGGTGTATTGGTGTGACTTGGTGTGGTGGACGTGAAGTTAACGTTTTTCTTTTTTTTTATTCTTTTTTCTGTAGTAGCTTCAAGCAATTGAACCCATATAACAAAATTATCTTTCATTTCGGTTATACCTCTTCCAACAGTTTTATTATTATTTTCTTTTGCTTGGTATATATAGGGTGGGTCGATTCCGGACTTTTTTCGATTCGGGATTTCTAATAGTGCGGAAAAGTTGCCTTAGTACTTCCTGATTCCTTTTTGTTTAGAGATCGGATTGCATCTTCAACCCCAACTCCGGCCTTGAAATTTCGGAAATTCGCCTAAAATCGTGAAATTGTCTACCTAGCGCTTGAAACACGCATCTCATGGCTAAATGTAAAAAACAAAAGTTATTTGTCACGTCATTTGCTACCGAAATGCTATATGTGGTTATGGCCGTAGGACGAACCGTTCCCGAGATACGAGCGAAAATGCGGCGCGCCACAGCGCAARBTGAAAATTGTTGCAGCTCTCAGCTAACCTGTATTGGTCACCCAGAACCCACCGCGTACAGGTGGCTGCTCTTCGGGCTCCTCCTAATCCCAACCCAAGTCTGAATCTGTGTCAAATTTATTGATAMAAATAGATTTTGTACTAAACTTTGGCACTTGTTGTCTAGATTTCAGTGTAAAACGTATAAAACGATCACGAGATTGGGGGCCAATAACTTTAGAAGATGCCTCTGTCACCATTTTGACGGTTCTSTCGACTGCCACGGTGTGAGAGGGGAATTCACTAAATTTCCAKACCTCTGCAGTGTCACCCGACAGCCCTTTTATAAGTTCTTCGTTAGAAACTGAGCAAAGAACTGGTGGAACAGTCAAGGTAATAGTCTTCCAGTTAATYAYATCGTAATAATTATTAGCTTTGAAATTCAGCTTTGGCACTTTATTATGGCTGCCAGAAGACGGTCAAGGACTTTCTGACTTCTATCCGTTCGTCAGTCATCATACTAAGGAGAATGTTTTCTGGAATTGATTGGAATCTTTGATTGAACTCTTGAATCTTATTGAGAACCACAAAGGTGAGTAAACTGCAAGTATGTACTTGACCAAAATMTTTATTTCCTTTGTTGGTTTGTCAGTAGAAATGTATAATCTCAGAATTCTATTTGCACAGGTGAGCCAGCGAGATTTGCACATGTTACCTGGATGCATCGACGCTAAATCATCATCAGCATCGTTTTTGGAAGAATCCATGTGCGACGCACCTACATTGTTGTCGTCTGAATGAGAGTCTGGCTGATCTGAATGGTCACGTGTTCTAGCTGATACTTTTCTGGTAAATGTTGTAGTTGAATGACGTTTTGAAAGCTTTTCTTTACGTTAATTTTTCTTTGTAATCTTTTTTGTTTCAGGTAGATCAACACTTCCAATGCAACCAATTCTTCTGGTTCTCTGGTCCAAGAGAAATGGTTGTTCATTGATAGGAACTTTCCTTTCCTTTGGACAAGTGACAAGTCGTCTCTTTTAGAGCTCAAACCTATTGGGTTCCTTAAAACCATTTGTTTAAGAGTCAGAAATTTCTTATGGTATGTGGTGAGCATTTGTACAACTCTGGAGTGTAAAACTATCGGAATAGATGACTTTTTTAAATTTTTTTTTAACCTTTTTGCAACTATTTCTGTAACCTCTTTACTCCTCGGTTCATAGTTGTCGCCTCGGAGTCGCCCTATACGAAATTTTTCAAACTTATAACACAAAGGAACATCCTGGTAAGTAGGTAACTGGGACTCAGAGAGATTGTACGGATATATGCCAAACATAGGATATTTCTGTCTAAATTTAAATTTAGATACAGACATTTTGAGTTCTGTGTKCWRTTGARAGAATATAAGTGATAGCACTCGGCGAAATCAACGACAAGAGTGAAGGAACTCGATGAAAAAATATTCGTGTGGAGACCTATCCGAAGGTGTCCTTTGACGTAGGTGAATGAATGTGAGTGATAGCACTCGGAGAAATCAACGTCAAGAAATGTGGCCGCAAGGCGATTTTCACCTTGCGCTGTGACACGCCGCATTTTCCCTCGTATCTCGGGAACGGTTCGTCCTACGGCCATGATCATATACCATTTCGGTAGCAAATGAGGTGACAAATAACTTCCGTTTATACATTTTGACATGAGATGCGTATTTCAGGCGCTAGGTAGACAATTTCACGATTTTAGGCGAATTTCCGAAATTTCAAGGCCGGAGTTGGGGTTGAAGATGCAATCCGATCTCAAAACAAAAAGTTGCAATGGAATCAGGAAGTACTAAGGCAACTTTTCCGTATTATTAGAAGTCCCGAATTGAAAAAAGTCCGGAATCGACCCACCCTAGTATATACGCCTCAAGCTACTAGCATTTTTCGTCTGCAGTTCTATTGTTTGGTAAATTTTTTAAACAAATATTTGAAACCGATCTACTAGACACTCTAATTTTTGCATTCTATGTACGGTACCACATAGCACGTCGACATCTTTTTGTCAGTTTGATTCATTAGAACTTCAGTTTTCTACTTGTTTATATCTATGAGGGATCTACATTCACATCTATTGTTACAGTCAAATGCTCATTGACAGATTCGGTGCCAAGAGAAACGTCCGGTATGTCGTCTACAGTTTGCGAAATGCCACAAATACGCACAAAAGTTTATTAATTTGGAGTGAGCTGATATTTAGAAAAATGGTCGCCTCCTGTGGATCCACTTTTAATTTGGTTGTGAGCCAATTTCCTCTTAATTTCACTTATCATGGTATTTTGTTTTCTGTTTATTATTCGTTTGTTTTCCCCTATAAAAATAAAGTTAATTAGTTCGTAACAATAAAATAAATAAATTTCTTAACTTACATATTTTCAACCGTCTAACAGCACACAGAAATAACAACGCAATATTAAAAACAAACCTGATAAAATCGGTTTCGAACATCGAACGAATAATATCAGAATTCATGACGCAACACACCTGATTAATTGAAATTTGCAGGAAACGTGCTAACCTACTTGTTCTCTTCTTTAAAAAATAAAATTAAAATTTAAAAAATTTTAAAATTATTTAGATTGATGGTAATTGTTCAGCAGAGCGGCTTTTCTGAAAACACTGTCCAATTTTGTTGGGAATTATCTTAAATTTTTTGTTTTTAAATCTTTCTCAACATTAAATGAATGAGAAAACTGAGAAATACATAGTAGAAAAATTTATCATTCACAAAAGAATTATGAACACCCCAGTGTTGGACCGACCAGGGTTATTTTTTTTGAGGGCTCGAGAGTATCGATAATTCGAAAACGATCACTGCATGAATCAATAATGCCCATTCAAATTTACAACAGTGGTGCCATAATTTCATATATAATCTTGCCATAATTGGTTTGTTGTGAGGATTTTCATAATTCTTTTTTATCAAAAAATAAATAAATCAAAATCAACTGCGTCGGTGTAAGGGAGTGTTCAAATATTACGTAACGTTTTTCTGTAACCAACCTCCACACCGCCCCCCCTCCCTTTAAACGTTACGTAACAATCAATTTTTATAATTAGCCCTAAAGTCGCAAAAAGTTATAGTTTTTATCTTTGGTTTTAATTTAATTGCCTTTGCGATCATAATCCACACTAATATTATACATGCGAATAATGCATAGACTAATTGTCAGTCTCAGTCTAAGTACCTACATTATAAATATTGTTGTATATTTTAAGAAACAACTAATGAAATAAGAAATAATGAAAAATGGCCCGGTTCTTAGTACCAGTACCCATCCTACTTTATGGACGTGTACGAAGCCAACTTCAATGGGTTACGGGCGTGAGTAAATAAATTACAGTTAGAGTAATTTCACCATGCAAATAAAATATTACAAGTTTTAAACTATGCGCCACGGCGCCCTGGTGCGCCATAGAAAGTAAAGAGGGGCGCTGCGAGTCGCGGTCCATTATTATAATCCCAAACCAAAAATAATCGCGAGAGTCTCTCACTCGCCCAAAAAGTACCTACTTACTCCGTTGAAAAAAGATTTGGTTCTGCTGGATCCTGCATGCGATCTTCGGGCTGTCTATACTCCGCCGGATATGTTATAAGCGCTCCGCGCAGGAGCATTAGTCGCTATAAACAGGGCATCCAAGTTGTATTTTTTGAAGTGTTCAATCGCAAAATTTTTGACTTTATGATAACGCGGGTTTTTATCCTGCCCACCATCTACAAAGATGATGATCACTGGCTTCACGCTGGTCGATTCTGTCATCATTAAGGGTTTGAATGAAGGTTTTGATAAAAGGGGAGGATGCATGTTTCCCGCTTCTTATGGATATGTATGTCGACCCGCTGTACCCAACAGCGAACACCTTACCGAAATTGTTATGTTCCATATTGACGCCGACATATACAGAAGGAATAAGTTTGTGCCGCTCTGCCACGACCCAGTAATGATCAGGTAAAAGTATTCTGTATTCCATATGCATTAAAATATACTACTACTATATATAATATTGATATACGTGCCTTGTCGTCTTGTGAGAGAACGAATATTTGCTGCGGTAACAGAAGCGACGCGAGAGATGACCTGATTGTAGCAGTGCAAAATTCCCCATCCTCGTGCTTTTTGTGCATCTCGGTCTGTGGTCTTGCTAACTTTACGGGTACGGTAAGTACGTGCCTTCTTCCCTCTTGAGTGTTGGAAACGCGTGGAAGTAAATGAAGATATGTGCCGCTTCGTAAAATTTTGAATCCCATTAACAACAGCTTCTCATGCAGGTCGCACAGAGTGAGACAACTCCTAATCATCTCTGTTCGGCGACGTTGATCAGCAGTGCTGCCATGAATGGCAATATTAATATGGTCTCTAGGAGAGCACGTTGCGAGTCAACTAAAGGGGGCTGTCCAGAGCCAGTTCGAAGTTGTGCTGCAGGAGGATTGTTTCTCTGACGTTCTGACGTTTAGAAGGATAGGGAAAGGAATTGACAATGATATTAAAAACGTTATATTAATAATAAAATGTTCTTGCTTTTTGCACGATTTTGTAAATGAAATGAATGATAGCATAAACACGAAATGGTTGCAAATGCAAACAAATTTCGAAAGCGCACACCCACGAGAGCAACCTGATCCATTATTCATTTCTGGAACCGTCGACCCTAATGCAGAGAACATCAGAAAGTCTATAGCTCTATTTTTATGTAAGTTTATGTGTTTTATTTTATCAGTTCATTTTTTCAGTAAATTCATTTTTCATATTAATATATCACACATTAACAATACTAATTCATTCATTCAATATGTATATACATATATGTATATATATATATGGAATAAAAACAATCTTTTCCTGGACTAGATATACATATGCTTCGTGGTGTAAAACGTAATTCTCACGTTTTCAAGGATATGTTGTTACATGCTTTCCTTAAATGCTTCCAAGAATTTTTCGAGGATGTCATTTCTTTTTCTTTCAATTTCAAAGGCTTCCCTGCCATCCTCTTTAATTGCTTCAATTTCCGCCGCAATTCTTCTATTTGGAGCCCGGAATTCCTCCAAAAATTCATTTTGAATATTTTTGTTTGAAATATGTTTTTTTCTTTTTCTTGCAGGTTCCTCGTCAACAAACGGCAATTCTTCCTGCGAATCCAGCGTAATGGAAGAGCTGTTAACGGGTGATGCACAGTCTACAACTTTGTGAACTGTAATAAATTAGTTTATAAAAATAAATATAAACTTTTTAAATTTCTATTTTATTTTACTAACCTGTGCTATCCTCCAACAATGTTTCCAAATTGAAGCTTTTATAGCTCCCGAGGATACTATTTATTTAAGGGTAGAATTGCCATGTCGAAGGGCTGCCGCCAGAGGGACCAATAGATTTCCTCTCATCTCTGCAAATTTTTTGAAAACTTTTATATGAAATGCACATGCATATTAAATAAACTTACCTGTATTTATTTGTCAAGTTGTGTATTTTCACACGAATTTCATTCGCGAAATATACGTGCCCCTTTGTGGCCATTTCTGCAGCCATATCCTTGAAAACGTGGGAATTGCGTTTTATACCACGAAGCTGTGGCAATTTTTCCTCCCACAAGCAGAAATAAGTTCAACTTCTTCCTTATTCTAAGTTGATCACTTTTTCCTGAAAAATTAACAAATTTACATATATTTTAAATAATAGCTTTATTAAAAACACGTTTACCAACCTCTTTTCCACGCTGTCGGCCATTTTGGTTTACTTTGTCATTTGACATTTCTCCTCTTTTTCGCAAAAATTATCGATAAAATTAGGAATAACCCCGAATATCTAGTTGTGTAATCTGAGAATAATTTTATACTCGGATTAACTAGGGAGGAATTTTGTACGGTAAATCTCGTTTCTTAATTACGGATTATCGAGTTAATCTCGTTAATGGCGATAATCTCGTTGTATGTAAACATACTATAAGTCGTAATTCTAGTAATGGTAGAAGAAACAACTAAGATAAAAATTGTAAATACAAAAACTCAGAAGAGTTCTAACAGTAACGCTGGGGAGTTGTGTCATCAGATGACTCCCCACTCCCAGGCTGTTACAGCTTAATGTAAGAATAAGTAGTTTTTTTTAAATAATAAAATAAATGTTTCTGTTTTGCAATTATAAATACAAATATACAAAATATGCAAAATAGCATAACAAAATACGGTACCACGATCGTATATACAAACACACATTTATTTATATACATACATATATAAGCGTACAGCTAACTTTATAATTAGGAGTAAGAAAACTAAATAGCAATGTCAATTAGGTCAGTCTTAAGATTTGTTGTTTGGAAGTTTTGAAAAAGGCCGAAGCTTTTTGAAGTGAAACTTCTTTAGAATCGTTGTGATTTCAAACCGGATGCAACGGAAAAAACGACAGGTAAGAGGCACAAATACGAAAATGTGTAGGATGAAGCCAGGAAAGAATGAGACAAAAATATGCATACTTTTTTATATTATCGGCGTATACATACATATATTATTTCTCTGCCACATTTGTCTGTATGTTTACGAAAGCAAATGGGAGCCACATACATATTCAAAGAGTCAATCTGTCGAAGCACTGACGCGACGACAAAGTGCCACAACGTTGTGTTGTTGGTAGAAAATCCGAGCWGTGCCGAAAAAAACTAACAAACGATCCCCGATTGTTACCGCTTCCCTTGCTGCTTGAACAGCTTTGCCAACAAGCTAGCGTATATACAAATATGTGACCTGGTCTACGAAAAGGGAGCTAACGTGCGAAAACTAGTTTTCTGGGAAACAGCTGTTAAAAATAAGTTGTTTATTTTCGTCATTTTCCATCCGAATCAACTAAAAAGTGAAAATTGATTTTTTGACACCTAAGCCCCCTTTCCGTAGGTCACATATATGTTTTTGTATGAGCTTTCATACATATTGACGCTGATTTTTACGAGCCACGGAAAAATATTTTAGAATTGACAAATATCACTTCGTTTTTAGAACAAATACCAGACAGATGTTCAATTTATGATGTTTAGCTTTTGCCATCGTCGCGAAAAGACGCTTGCTGGCAAAGGCATGCTCGGAGAAATGTTACGGCGTCTGTTTTTTTTGAATGGAGCGAAGTCGCTTGTGGAATTTGCGCCTGCGTTTATGAATTAAATCATTTTTGTTGTAAAATTTACTATATTTGGGCTTCGCCAATTTGGCTGCCATATTGACTTGTGATGCTTTTGCTATTTAGACAGTTGTTGTTTTTGTTGAAAAATTTTTACATTTTTTGTTGATGACATATTCACATGTATACGCATATATCTGTTTGTATGCTTGTGAATTATTTGTTCGGCAATGTATACAAATATATGTATGTATCTTTAAGTATAAGTGAATGTATATGAACATGTAGATCGATGCGCGCACATGTAATACATTGATAAGCGATGAAATCATTATTTGAATTTCTGAATGCACTCATCCGTTTACATACATTTATATGAGCAGACAATAAGATAATGACTAGGTGGACCCGTGCGCGCCTTGCGTTTAATGCAATTTTCTATAACTGAAGTTCTGGTGGCATATCTAACAACTAGAAGAACTTGTCTAAAATCACCTCCAAATACAAATATTTTTCCTCCAAATGACAAATTCAGATTTGTTATATTTTTGAAAAGCTTATCAACAATGGTTATTGCACCCTTAGGTATCATAGATACTTCGTCCCAAATAAATAAATCTGTTTTCCGTAAAAGCTGTGCTTCTTTTGAGTTGGGCCGCATAGATGATACTGAAGTATCTAAAATAGGCACAGCTAGCTTAAAGGAGGATGGAGTCATGTGTAGAAGTTCACGCAAGTGAGGAAAGTTCTCTGATCGCCATTCACTTGGGAGTGGCCAGAAACGATTCTTTTACATATGTCTCAAGCAACTCACGACTTCCGGTCTTTGACCAAGTATCCTCTGGGTAGGCTAAGAACATCCGTTTGAAGGCGAGCTAAAGTGAGAAGGCGAAATATCCCCTACGTAGGGTTGTGCGCTGGGCTTGTGAAACGCCACGTAAAAAAACACCCGCAATGAAAAATTCACAACAGCCTCGGATGAGAGCCCCCCTTTTGATGACGACCATGGCAAACGAAATAAGGACTACGAAATGAGGGCATGCACCTGGAAGGTCCGGTCCCTTAATTGGGAAGGTGCCGCTGCCCAGCTGGTTGATGTCCTCGTGAAAACAAAGGCTGACATCACCGTCGTCCAAGAAATCGATGAACGGGACAAGGACAGAGACGAGTAGGTCCTTGTGGCATTTACTACAATGGCCATATAAAGGAGCGCAAATCTGGTGTGGGATTCGTGGTGGGTGAGAGACTCCGTCGCCGAGTACTATCATTCACTCCGGTGAATGAACGTCTAGCCACAATCCTGTTCAAAGCTAGGTTCTTCAACATATCGCTGATTTGCGCCCACGCCCCCACGGAAGAGAAGGACAATGTGACCAAAGATGCCTTTTATGAGTGCTTGGAACGCACTTATGAGAGCTGCCCCCGCCACGATGTCAAAATCGTGCTTGGCG